AACATAGATCCAAGGTATTTAGGGTTGCATGTACACTTAGGAGTGTTAGAATACTCATAACCCAACAGTTTGACATAGGGGCATTTTGGGTATTTTGAGTTGTAATTGAGAATTGGTCACTATTTGATGGGTTGGTGACCGGTAGAGCTGCTATTCGGAGATGTGTCCTGTTCAACGATATTTTCAGACTGAGAGGTGAGTTTTCCTCACTGTACTTGTGGGTTGAATGCACCAATGCCGGCCCACTGGATTATGTATCCTGGTATAGAGGATGTTGTTATGCGGTAGTGATAGTTAGATCTGTCTGTTTGTCTGTTGACTGGTCATGTGATTATCTGTTTGACTGGTCATGTGATTATCTGTTTGTCGGTAGCCAACAAACCCGGGAGCAAGCCAGACATAAGCTGTGGGTCTGAAGGTCAAGCCAGACTTATGATGTGGGCTCGAGAGCATGCCATATATGAGCTGTGGGCCTGAAAGGCAAGCCAGACTCATACTGTGAGCTCAGGGGTAATCCAGTCTGTTAGTTGTGGACTCATTATATGTTATTATATGTTGTGTGTTGGTACTTGGGGAATCTCAATAAGCTTTGGCTTATAGTTTCAGTTTATTATTTCATGTACTTCTGATGATTGTGAGAAAGTGAAGGCATGATCATGTACATCTTCCTGTTTTTATGACATCGATTCTTGGGATACACTTTGATGTTGAATAATATTTTGGAAACAATGGCTTTGTAAACACTTTATGATTGAAATAGATTGTTTTTGAAAATTTTAAATTTTTATGATTGTTGAGATGTTACATATACTAAAGTTATTTGAAGAAAACTTATATTTATTTATTAAAATACATAAAATAAAGATACCATCTACATCATTTTCACCAAAAAAAACTTATATATTTTTTTTATTAAAAAACACAATAATGATTATTTATATATATCATCTTTGGGATTTATTATTTTTTTTTATTCTCTTTAATAAATATCATTACTATAATCATAAAGATACCATCTAAATACAATTCATAAATAGAGCTCCATGATATATGTGGCCTATAAACGTACTCCTTATAACAAATCAACAAAAGTCTTATTAATTGTATTTAGCATGTGTTTTTATAACTACATTAGCCATAAAAGCACTCATATTTCCATGAAATATGTGGTTATATCCTAAGTCCAAATATGTGTTCACTAATGCCTCATATTTAAGTAAGTTTTGTCATTTTGGGTTTTTTATCAGGTTGTAAACAAATAGCCGGTCACCTTAGGGCTTTTATGTAAATATAAGGGCAACCTTGGTGGCTAAAATGCTACATTTGTGACAATAGTGACCAGTAAATTGTAGTTTTATAGTAAACGTTTAACATACACGACCTAAAATTCAACAATGAAATAACATTTGACTTAGAAATACACTTCTTGCCACAAATCAACAAAATCCTCTTAAATTATATATGATATAAATGACATCTTTATGATTACAGTAATGATTTTTATTACAGAGAATAATAAAAAGTTTCAAAAATGATATACAAATAATCATTATTGTGTTTTTTAATAAAATAATTATCTTTATTTTGAGTTTATAATAAATAAATATAAGTTTTTTTCAAATAAATTTAATATATATAATAAAAAAAATCTCTAAAAAAATCTTTAAACTTTAACCTACTAACGAAAAAGTCATCAACCATTTTTGTTTTTGTAATTTAACCCTTAAAATTGATACTAACCAGGTATATATATTCTTTTGTAAATGTTTATCTGTTTGAATGGTTAAATTAAAAAGATATAATAATAAAAAACATAAAAATAAAAAGAATTTTTATATAGATTTCCCAAACACATAAACGGTAAAACACATAAGCTTTGCAGTTACTCTTTTAATTTCAAACCTAATTACCTAAACCGTAAAACACACATGTGTGCAAGGTCAAGAATTCTCATGTTTGCCCGAACAAATTGATTGCCATAGAAAGTAGAAACTTTGGCAGCAGGCTCGCCTCGTCGCCCTTTCTACTCAAAGTAAAAGACAAGTTCTCTACAGACACGATCTTTGCATAATAATGGCTAAAAAGAAGAGAGACGAAGTGGAGGCCGAACCCCAAGTACTCAACCACGGCAATGGCGGCTCTCATGAAACAAAAAAGAAGAAAAAGAACAAGACAAGAGACAAAGAGCAGAAGAAAGTGTTTGTAGATGAGGATGATATGGGTAGTCCTACTGTCAGCATCGCCCTACCTGGCTCTATCATCGATAACACTCAATCATTCGAGCTCGCTACTCGGGTAATAAAGGATTTTTGTTGTAGCCCTTGAAACTGGTTTAAAGTTACAAAGGAATAAGAGTTGTGCACATCAACTGCTTGATAATTTGTCATAGTGAAAGAAACTAAAACTCTTCACTGTCTATTTTGTGGGTGGTAGTTTTTCATTTTGATGGGCTCTCAGTGATATTTTGGTATGATTCCTGCACTAAATTTTGGGTGCCATTTTTCTCTTTGTTTGCAGCTTGCTGGCCAAATTGCCCGTGCCGCCACTATTTTCAGAATTGATGAGGTTTAATTCTTAGTTACGTTTTCTTTTGAGTACTTGATTATGATTGTAGAATAAGTAGTGAGTCAATAGGATGGTTCCACCACTAGATTCTTGGTTGACATTCTACTATTTATATTACAACAAGAACAAGCCTTCCATCATTAACTAGAAGGGATAGACTGAGTAGTTTCATGATCAACATTCAACAACAAAAGGTAGGAATACTGTGACAAATTTTCTTTCAAAAAACTACAAAAACAGATGAGACCTACGAATTCTGTGAAGTCTACTATTACCTTCCTTCCTCCGCCCCCCCTTTTTTTTAAAAAAAAAAAAAATATAGACCACACAGAAAATTGAATTCTAGATGGATGGAAAACATTTATCATTTATGTTTGTTTAATCATCATTAAAGATATGTAGAAAGCTGTGAATGATTTACTGGTGTGTATTTGGGCTTGTGTTTATAGGTGGTTGTATTTGATAACCAAAGGGAATCATCCAATGTGACAGCTGAGGATACTTGTGATGAAAATGAGAGTGGTACTGCTTTCCTAATAAGGATCTTGAAGTATCTGGAGACACCACAATATCTGAGAAAGGCTCTTTTCCCCAAGCATAACAGCTTAAGATTTGTGGTACATTTTCAAATTGCATGCAATATTGTGTACAGCAGCAGCAGCAGCAGTTAATGTTGTATTTTTTGTAGGGTCTGCTGCCACCGCTTGATGCCCCACATCATCTTCGAAAACATGAATGGGCTCCATACAGAGAAGGTTGTTTTCTCCCTCTTACATATCATATAACATAAACATATCATTTCAAATGCATTATTTATGTTCATGAATGTCAAAACGCTTGTAGAATTTATATTTCTTAGAACACAGAAAATAAAGAGCAAAGCCACAAAGTAATTGTAGAGGGAGGGTGAATACAATGAAGTACAAGGCTTGTTTGCGGAATGAACACTCAAAATAAGAGTCAAACTCATACCATGCCATTTTCTATTCAACTCTGCATTTTATTTTAAATTTTTTGTTGAAAAAACTGAAATGATGTGCATTCTGACTTGTGCTCTTGTAAAAAGGCTTGACAGCAGTGATCCTGTTTTCACTCACACATACACATGGGATTCAGTATCCTTCATGGTCATATGCATTTAAGGGAAAACCAACCTCAAAATTTGGAATTCATGTCACTGAGTATTCAGGAAAATAATAATAATAATCGCAAACCCCCCTAGTTAGTTAGCAGAGAAAAGAAGCTGTTCTTTCTAAGGAATAAGAGAAAATTGTTATCCTTAGGCTAGCTTTCATTGTGATTGTAATTACTAAATCTTAACTCATCACTTGATAGGTGTCACACTCGCGCTACAAGCTCCAACTTCTGCCACCACTCTTGTGGATGTGGGGCTTAGTAAGGTATCAATATCTATCTGCATGTTATACTACATGCATCTGATGTCAATGATAGATAATTAAATTGATCATATTATTATTATTAATGTATTTTAGTTGTAAACATAATAACCTACCTAGTGATGCAGTGCAGTCTAGAGTTTACCCATGCATAGTCAAGCAAGCCATCTGGGCTGATTTAGACTACTAGAGATCCTAATTAACCTTGTGCATATAAATATTTGGTTAAATAATGAAAGGAGTAGACGCCTTGTGCCCAGTTTTCTAAAGCTAGCTTGAAATGTGATAATATATATATATATATATATATATATATATATATATATATATATAGATATTAAAGTGTGAATTGGAGTAACTTTTACAAATTGTGATGTGACCATCTTTAATGTAGTTTTCTCAAGTGACATTGTTTCTGTTTTGTGAGACAATAAGCATGAGATGTGAAATGTCCAAATTCACATATGCTATTCTACGTAAGAATATAAAGTTAGATAGATATATTGGCAAATATTAGTTGATAAATTATCATGTTGTACTTGTAATTGAATAGAATAGACATTAGACAAGTTGCAAGATCCTTAACATGCATAGACCTTTAGGTTTTGATTTTTGAATGAAGCATAAGTGTTTTCAATCATTATCATTATATATTTAATATTTGATTTGATTCCCTGCAGAATGTGGTGATTGATGAAGCAGTTGAGCCTGGAAGAAGAGTTACTGTAGCCATGGGAACCAATCGACAACTGGATGGTATAAATATTAATATTAATAAATCCAGTCCTTTCATGCAATGTGTATACGTTAGGGTTAGGATGAAACTTGAAAGACTAGTGACTTGCATATATATATATATATATATATATATATATATATATATATATATATATTATTTAAAGTTTAAACACATCATAGTATAATAATATTAGGATATTTTAATTCCAAACACTAAAAAACCTGTCCTACACTAATTCCAAAAACACCTGAGTTTGAAACCATGTAGAATCTAAAAAAGAATCCAAATATATATCTGGTTTTGTAGATGAGGCACATGAGGTTGTGTCATGGTGGAAGCCTAGGGAAGAAGCAGGAATGTATTGGGGCTATAAAGTCAGATATGCTCCCAACATCAGTTCAGTACTTAAACAATGCCCGTATAAGGTAGGTATAGTATAGATATTTATTATTATTATTTTTCAAAGTAGAATAGAAAAAGTTGAGTAATGTATTTGGTTTTTGTTTCATGTAATGTAAATTATATTTTGCAGGGTGGGTATGATTATCTTATTGGCACCTCAGAGCATGGTCATATAGTGAAGTCATCAGAGCTTGAGCTACCATCTTTTAGGTATTGTTTGTTGTACAACTCTGCTGCTCTTTCATTTTTTTTTTTCTAAACCTACCATACCATACCATGATTAGTTAGACATGGTAAACTACAAGACAAGATGATTATACCTTAAAACTCTTACGTTAATGTTATGTGGAAATAAAACTCATCTGATCCATTAATATTTCATCTGCACTGCAGGCATCTACTGATTGCTTTTGGTGGACTTGCCGGATTGGAAGAGTGCATTGAAGAAGACAAAAACCTCAAGGTTTCAAGATTCCTTCTAACATTTCTACTATTTTTATTCCATTATAGCATCAACATCCTATGCTGTAATAGAAAGAAATGCAAAAAAAAAATATCAATGTATTTGTCATTTGTTTGTTTATGATAGCATCATGCTTTCATTTCTTCTTGTTACTTACAGCATATGATATCCAAATATGAGATGGTTTTCATTGCTATAATAGATAAAACAAAATTGGAAGTACAATGCTAGAATTTGACAGATTTTTTGGAAATAAGATGGAAAGTGCACACAAATAAATGATAAAGCTGTTATTGTTATTTCAGGGAAAAGATCCACGCGAGGTATTTAGTACGTATCTCAACATATGTCCACATCAAGGAAGTAGAACAATACGAACTGAGGTATGTATGGTCTTTCTTTCTTGCTAAATAAATTAACACAATTTCTTAATTCTTTGTCAAACTTTTTTTTTTGAGAATTTATTCGTTGATTGCCAACAGGAAGCGCTCTTCATTTCTCTTCAATATTTCCAAGAACCAATTGATCGTGTATTAAACACTTCTAAATAACATGGTTAAGGATTGACCCGTTTCGGTTGTTCATCTTGGACTATTTCCCGTGTTTTCTAATCATTTTGTTTTCCAGGTTTAGTTGTCAAACTTTTTTTCTTAATGCTTTAACTAATATTCACAGATATTATTTGATTTTTTAGCTTGTGATGTTATTTTCTTTAAAACCTATTCTTTGTTTGGATGCTGATTTGGTATTTGTATTGCAAGCTCACATAAGCAAAGAAAAAAAAAAAAAACTTGAATTAGTAACTGGCTACCATTCTCCAAGATAAAAGTTGCTATAATTGGTAAAAATTATAATTATATTCTTATTATGGATAAAATTTAGAGAATATTGTCTATTGGTAAAACAAAAATCGAAATTATGTAGCTGTTTTTTGCAAATTGCATTTTTTTTAAGTAACTATATCTTTTCTGATAGGATAATTGTGAATAATAATTAGTGAAAAGAGCATCTATACCCTATAATTCGTTGCAAGGAGCCTGTTTTAGGCCACCTTACATGCATAATTCAACATGATTTGCGAATAACAACCTTTGGGAGGTCTTTGTTTTCCGATGTGGCATTCGATTAGGTGATACTCTTCTGTTGACTATTGCTACGGGTTGTATTTAGCCGTTTAATGGTAGCAATTGATCTTGTATCCGTCAATGTAACAACTTTTTTTTTTTTTTTTTGCATGCATAAATGAGGTATCTTGATCAATTTGTTCAACAAATAATGCTTACTGCGATTATCATAAGATTTTATCATATCTTATTGATTTTGTTCATGTTTATAGTATATTGGTTGTTGATTTGTGTATTTTGGTTTAGATGAAACATCATAATTGTAACATCCCAAGATTTGTCATCTATATTCCATGGGGATAGAAGGGTGAAGCCATGAGAAGCCTAAGGGCTAAATTGCAATTTTGGGATCAAGAGGAGTACGCTGCGCGTACATAAGGGTACGCTGAGCGTACTAGGCGCGCCCTAGTACGTTGGGCGTACTCATGACAGAAGGAAACCCTAATATTTAGGGTTTGGGTGCTATATAAACATCCTTATGGCTCATTTCTTCCATCACTTTTAGCCTCCATACCCTAGAGATGTCCCAAACCCTAGCCTTGTGTGTGAGTGTGAGTTTGTGTGTGTTTTGACCACTTGAAGGAGGAGGTGTTGCACCAAATAGTTGGAGAAGGAAGGCAAGCTTGAAGATCTGAAGTTCTCTGGTCCTCTAGAAGCTCCAGGAGGTAAAAAGCTACAAACTTTATGCTTGTATGATATAGATCTAGCCATTCTAGCTTTATGGAACCCTTTCTTGTCCCAAAAGTCCCAAGTTGGTGCATGATATGATTTGGACGAGATGAGCTGTCCTTTCAGACCTTAGAGAGGGTCCTAAGTGATAAAAATGATGTCCCAATAGCTAAATGTGTCTCATGCATGGAGTAGGAAGGTCTTAATGGATTAAGACCATGTGTTAAGAACTTTCTGGACGTCCAAAGTGATAAAGTTCGAGACTTTATGAGTCTTAGGCACATTTGGTCGATGGATCTGGAATTTGGGCTTAAGTGCTTAAGCCATTAAGCACTTATGAGAGTTTTGGTACAGACTCGCGTACGCCCCGCATAGAGAGCAGTACGCCCCGCGTACCGCGTCAATGGTCCCGTTTTCAGTCAACGCGAGACGGAGTACGCCCCGCGTACCAGAGGAGTACCCCCAGCGTACGACCCCCTATTGGGCTTTGGGATTGGGCCACCTTTGGACTAGTTGGACTTGGGCCTTGATGGGCCCTCTGGATAAGTGTATTTTGGGCCAGTTTTGGTAGTGATCCTTTGAATGAGGCCCAATTAGGGAGTTGGACCCAATTTGGAAGAATTGGGCCAATAATGGGCCTTGTATATGTGGACTTGTGGATCATGGATTTGGTATTGGGCCTTGGCCCAAATTAGAGGAAAGGCAAAATGGACTATTATCATAGGTGGGACTCTTGGTCAAATTAGTATTCCCATTTATTGACTTAATATTCGTTATTTTGGATAGTTCGGGATTTGTGGTGAGACAACGATTCGGGAATTCGATTTTTCAGTTCAGATCGACATTGCGAGGTGAGTTATCCTCACTATATCCAAGGGTCTAAGGCACCAAGGTCGGCCCTTTGAATTATTATTCGGATTGTTGCTGTTATGATAGGTTAGATCGATATCCTGGTAGATAGGATGGTTATGCTTAGTGACCTGTAGTTTGGTCTGTCTGTTTGTATGCTGGTAGGAGATTACCTGTTATATGTACACATGATTGATTGGTAGTTGAGGGTATTCCATTCCGATGATGATAGGACCCTAGTATGTTGTCTTTATAGACTGTTATATGATTATCTGATATAGGTGCACATGTTTGATTGGTTATGGGCATTCCAACCCCATGGTTGTGGGCAAGGAGTATTCCATCCCGAGGATGATTGGAATCATAGTATATGGGCATTCCAACCCGATGGTTGTGGGCCGAGAGTATTCCATCCCGCGGATGATTGGACTCGTAGTATATGGGCATTCCACCCCGATGGTTGTGGGCCGAGAGTATTCCATCCCGAGGATGATTGGACTCGTAGTATGTGGGCCTTCCAACCTGATGGTTGTGGGCCTGGGGTATTTCAACCCGATGGTTGACTGGACCCATAGTATGTTGGCATTCCAACCCGATGGTTGAGGGCCTGGGGTATTCC